CCCCTTGTGGTCTTTGTGCACAGTCTTGTTGTTTTTAAGCCTTGATTGTTTTAGGCAATACCGGGGGTGATTTGACCTCCAGGCTAACTTGCTATGAGAGTCAGCTGTGTCTGCAGTGGGAGAGCTTCTGTGCTGCGGAGCTAATCTAGCATTTGCCTGAGGCTATTGGGCAAATGCCTCAGTGCAGGGTTTGGGCGGGGCAGGTCCCCGGGGATCTACAGGGCGGCGGAGGGAGCAGTTATGGCTGCTCTCAGTTCAGTCCCCAGGGGCTCTGCCTCACAGAGTCCCAGCAACCTCTGCAAACCTCGGAGAGAAAGCTGCCTTCGAGTTCCAACACAAGCCAGACAGTCCCACTTCTCCCGTTTGAGTCTGGGTCCCTAGAGACTTGCCCGGAACTGGAGCTCAGAGCCTGAGACTCCCTCCCAATTGAAAACAACAACCACGCCCTCAGCCGCCAACCCGCTCAGCATGCACTCCGTACCTTAGTATTTCACTTCAGCACTGCGCCTCCTCTGAGTCTGGGTATGATATTCTCTTTCCTCCTAGTTGTAGAATTTCCACTCAGCCAGCCTTCCTGTGGTTCTGGATGATGTCTGTTCCGTCTTTTAGTTGTATTTTTGAAGTGGTTGTTCGAGGCAGCAAACTCCGGTGTTAACCTTTGCCGCCATCTTGGTTTCCAACTGAAGCTGACTATCTAAAACATTGAGTTTTTTTGCCAGGCTGGCATGGCTTAGTGGTTGAGCATTGACCTATGACCCAGGAGGTCATGGTTCGATTCCCAGTTAGGACACATGCTGGTTTTTGGGTTCAATCCCCAGTGTGGGGCGTGCTGGAGGCAGCTCCAATCAATGATTCTCTTGGTGGGACGGGGGGGGGGGGGGGTGGAGGGTGATGCGGGGACAGGTCTTTCCCTTCCTCTCTAAAATCAATAAAAAATATATTAAAAAAATAAAACATTGAGCTTTTTCTCATGTTAATAAGTTTTGAAAAATGTGATTTAAAAAACATTGTGTGTAGTAATTTTAATGAGTTATGTTTCATATTTAGCATTAGTCTGTGTATGGTAAATGAGACACTTAAAAAAAAGACCATGAAGAATGCATACAAAATTAAGTGACTGATGTAACTTTACTTTATTAAAAGGTAGGATTATAGTTACTTTGGCTTTCACTTAAACGTGTTACTAACAAAATATGTTTATCTAAGTAGCCTATAAAAGGTTAAATATTTTGAGGAAGATACAGAACAGCGTTACAGGTAAAGAAATCATTGCTCCAAAAAAAGAAAACTTTAAAATTGAAGGGGTTAAATGTCTAGAAATGTGAAGGTTATTGTTAGGTTTATGAACATTCTAATTTTATTTCACCTGAAAATTTGAAGTCTATTTCCCAGGAATTTTTCATTTTGATCAGTGTATTCCAAGAAATAGGTTTATTATAAATTACAGAGGTTGTTCTTAGCAAAATACTTTTAAACACAAAGAGATAATTCTTTGAAATATTTTTCTCCTCAAGAAGAGATGGGAGGGGGTACCTTTGAATGCTTGGCAAGTTATATAGAATGGGGCCTTTGAGGTAGGACACTTCAGGCTTAAGAAAGTCTGAAATGGCCTTTAAGCAGCAGATTATTCTTTCAGTAGCCTTTATTAGGCCTCAGCCATTTTCTTTAGGTATGGACTAGGATTTGATGGCCATTTTCTTTTGGTATGGACCAGGATTTGATGGGCAAGATTAAATTCTCTTGGTTATGGAACATGATCTCTCTCTCTCTCAAATATGCTAATTAACCAGGACACCATAACAGGTTGACCGGATAGGAGGTTGTGTGTGCAGCGTCAGGGGCGGGGCGACAGGGGCCTCCGTGCACCTGCGCTGGGGGAGGGCCTGATCAGCAGTGGCCAGCTGCTTCAAGGGCCGGAGAGGGAGGCAAGGCTGGACCGGAGGGTGGGTGGCGTCGCACAATTTCGAATTGTGCTCTGGGCTCCTAGTATATCAATATTTGCTTGTCACTGTGGGTATTGCATTAAAGTAGCACCTGCAGAGTGGTTGGTGGATGTCACTGAAGGCTGACAGAATGAGGAGCAGGAGCCTTCTAGGCAGATGGAGAGTAGAGAATATTTTAAAAGAGGGAATAGCATGTGCAAAGGCACTGAGGTTTGAGAGTTCAGGTAATGAAGAGAATGTGTCATTTGCCATACATGCAGAACCTAAGCCAGCTGTCTTATGAAATGTTTATCATGGGATGTCATCAGGGTTGAAAACAAAAGCACCGCTAGTCAGTTTGTTGCATGGCTCAGGAAGCTAATGCAGAATAACTTTATTTTAAAAAATAGACACAGAAAAGATTTAAACCAGTAAAAGAAGCAACAAAATAATTAAACTGGTTTGAAACCCTTGCTCATAAACCTGTGTTTTTCTGATTAATTTCTTAGTATTACTTTTTAGAAGTGAAATGCTGAATTCCAAACTTTAAAAAATTGTTGGCACACATTACCAAGTGTCGCTTTCTAAAAATAGTTTATCAATTTATTCCCATGCTAGCAGTTCATGGGAGTGTAGGTATTGTCAAAATCAGAGGTTTGAAAAGGTGATCAGCCACTCTGCAACAGTGACCTGAGTCAGCGCTCCATTTCAGTGCTTTGCAAACATAGTTTTCCATTATTTATTCTTCTTAAGTAGGTAAAATGACCATCTTTAGATTCTAGTTGAATTTTACTTTATGCTATTGTAGCTTATGTTTTCAGAATAATCTCAATGTTGATAATCTTTTAACTTGGCCTCATCTGTTTATCTTTTAAAATTTATTACCTGAATCATTTTAAAATATATTAACAGCTAAAATATATTTTATCTTGTTTGATTTTATAACAAAATAATTAACAGTATTTATTGAACAAAAATTCTAATTAATTAACACCAAAGTTTATTATGACACTCTATATAGGTAGCACTTGCTATGTACCATGAATCCTTTTACATATATAATTGGCCTTAATTAAACCAACCATGGTTGTCCTTATATATTCATTTTGACAGATGAGGAAACTGAAGCACAGAGCACTTTTGGTGATTCTCTTTAAAGTTTATACAGTTGATGAGTAAAACTAGGATTAGAACCAGGCCACCTTGTCTGTACTGTACTGTGTGTGCTGTGAACCACCTAGGTTCTTAGTGCTAGATGTTTACCAATAAACCAGCTTTTTTTCTAATTAAAGAAGTCTGATGGAACATTGTCTTTTCTGATAGCTTTTTGAGTTTCCTGATTTAGGTGTAGCACCATTTCATTGATATTAGTGATTAAACCAAGTTTGTTTCACCAGTTAATATATCGTTACCCAGTCTAGATCTCCGTACTCTGTTCTTATAATTATTGGAATTATTTTATAATTGTACAGTGTGGCCTTGAAGTCAAGTTGGCTACAGAGTCAGCCACATGAATTATACAGTTAGTTGAGCACTGTTGGTGCTTCAGGAATTAACCAAACCTTTTTGGAAAGAGTCCAAGTCAGACTCCATGTGCACCTAATTCTGCTTGGTATATTGCCAGTGTATTAACGCTCATTTAAATATTCTAACAAGTAATGTTTGTTTATATTATGGCAGCGGCTGTAAAGTACCCACACTTCATTAATATTTTTGAAAGTCAAATATTAGCAGGCCTACGTCATATGATCAATACTATGTAATTCAGCTCAACTAACATATCTTTGTGAAAACATGACTAATGCAGTGTGATAATTAAAATTCTCTTATTTCCCATAAGAAATTCTCAGACTCCAAAACCTTATGCACTTCTCTCACACAGGGCAATCCACTGGACCCCCACCCTCCTTTATGCTAAGCATTTTTTGGGGGGAAATTATTATAAGTTGCAGAGAACTCATATGTTAAGGTGCTACCTTCGTAAGCAGTAACTTGTATAGGTAGCAGGAAATTGGAACTTTTGGAGGGACATCATGAATGATAAGGAATGTTCTATGCCTTGTTCCAACTCTGTAAGGCCTATCTCTCCTTTATGTGATGGGCCCTAGCTTTCAGTGTGCACTGGCTTCCTTGATTTGATACACGAATTAAACAAGGTCTTAATGCTTCTGAAGCAGTAGGTTCTTTAATTAATCAACACAGAGTACTATTAGATAGCCAAATTTGATTAAGGCATGCAAATGAATTGCTCTCTCATTTTATTTTAAGTCCTAGATTGGGGTTTGCTCCAGTCATATATTTTTAAAACATAAAGTGCATTCAGTGGGCTGCTGGAGGTGGCCTGGCTCAGAGGTAATGAAATGGCTATGCACATAGGTAGGTCCTTGATTCTGAAGCTATTACCAGCAAAAAAAGTCCTTAGATGTCCTGGTTTTTAGGTGATAATTAGGTGGAATGGCTGCCATGTACCTGGCTGGCATCACTGCATTTCTTAGGATAAGGAGATCCTTTCTAAAATTCTGTTCTCTGCGGAAGTAGCAATTGTAGTGCCTTGTTCTCTGGAATATTGAGTAATAGGAGGTCTTAATATATTTAAACATTTAGCTATTACAGTGATACATTGCTGGTGCACAACCAAAAGGTGACACCTGCTTTGGAAATTGATTTGACCTTAACTTGTAAATTTGAGTATTTGCATATTTAAGAATTTTCAGTAATTCCACTCCTAGGTATGTATCCCAGAGAAAGACTAGTACCTGCTTTCCAGGGGATAAGCAGAAGAAAGTTTGCAACATGGTTCGTGATAGCAATAGACTGGCAATACTTTAGAATGAGAGAATCAAAATAAATTGTGGAATATTCATTCAATGGAGTATGAGAAATAATAGTGAGAATGGATAGGTAAAGTGTAACCAAAATCATGGATGGATCTTAGTAACCTAATATTGAGCTGGGGGAAAAACAAGTTTCCTGGGACTAAACACAGTGTGATACTCTTTTTGTGACGTTCATTCATAATCAAGCATAATGAAATAAAATACTATTTAGGCCTACATATTTGTGCTGTACCTTAAAAAATAATTAAATGGGAAGGGGGAAGCACAAAGCTAATGTTTTAGTAATTTGGTTAGACTGTGGACTGGCAGATACTCTTTCATTTTTTATTAAAAAGTAAAACGGGGAAGACTGAAGTTGATAATATTGGAGAAGTCTTCATCTAAGAAATGGTACTTGTTCTGATCTTTGACCATTGAAGCTTAGCTACTGGTATTGTCAATCATATTAACTTGGAATAAAGAGATAGCGCTTGCCAGTCTCACCCTTTATATCCTCTCCTCTTTTCAGGATTTAAATAGTGAGGGTTGTGTGGCTGTTCTTAAACTGAACCTAGCTCTCAGTTTTATTGTGTATCTCCTCTTGGATGTTGTTAGTCTTTGAGGGTTGTTAGTCTGTCTGGTACTGTTGATATGTTCCTCTTTGGTAAACCAGTATTTTATCTAAACAGTCCAAAACCTACAAACCTTCATTGTCAAGAGCTTTCCACTCTCCTTCCTGACCCAGCCGCAGATCACAGGCCAGAGTTGGACACACTGAGCTATCTAACCATCTATTTTAGGAAATACCGAGAGCAATCAGATGCTAATAATAGTTTTGGGAGTAAAAACAGCCTGGGGCCAACATCCTGTTAGGTCTTGTCTTTTTTCATTTTAAATACCTCGTTACCATTTTAGTTAATGGGAAGAGGAAGCAGCGGTAAAGTCTGGAGAGTACTGCTGATGGTCTGTGCACGCTCCTGTCAGATGATTGGGGATAAGGACCCATACATCACCCTCAGGCTTCATTTCTGGCCACTTGTTTATGTCTTGTGGTTTCTACTTTCTTACTAATATTTCCCCAGAATTATCATACATTCAAATATCTGTCTCATATCTCCCTTCCACTTCTCTCATTTGGGTGCTTTTGATTAGTGAAGGCGCAGAAAGAGGAAAAAAGCCCAATAGTCATCCCTTAAATGTCCTTTAATTAGCTGTGTATGACTTATACTGCAGTGGGACACATGCCAAGCAGTTGTTCAACATGATAGGAATATACTGCTCTGGAGAGAAGTCAATGAGGCCTGCTCCGTGGGTTCGCACTGGACGCGGAAAGATTGCAGAGGGATTTTCCAACTGTATGTGTGCTCCACAGAGAATTGTATAGTGAGGTTGTTCCAGTGTGTTACTTGTCCTTGTCCCCAAAAACCACAGGATTCATGGATGGCCTTCTGTTAAGACTGTCAAAGGAACTGGCTCTGTGATCTTGTATAAGAACCCTATCTGTATGTGCCTCAGTTTACTCACCTTTCAAGTGGGGGATTCATTAGATTGTCCCTAAGGCCCTATCTATAATTCTGATTTATTTATTTATTTCCTCATCCAAGGATATTTTTCCATTGATTTTTAGAGAGAGTGGAAGAGAGAGGGAAAGACAGAGAAATATCGATGTGAGAGAAACACACATCGATTGCCTGGACCTGGGCCCTGGCTGGGAAGGAGCCAGCAACTGAGATTTGTGCCCTTGTCCTGAATCGAACCCAGGACCCTTCAGTCCACAGGCCGACACTCTATCCACCCACTGAGCCGAACCAGCTAGGGCAATTCTGATTTTAAAATGGTGGATACCAAGTAGAGATTAGAGAAAACCATCACCTACCTCCTGGTATTTTTTGTTTAGAAGTGATGCAGGTAGATAGGCCCTGGTGATTTGTTGGCTGGATGTCCTGAGCAAAGCTAACATCTGTCTTCAGTGGTTTGGGGAGGTCTAAATAACTTAACCTGTTTAAAGCCCAGAGGGGCTTATTCGTTGGTTAAATAACAACAACAGTAGCAAACTAAAAATAATAGTAAGCGGCATTCTTCCTCCAGTTCCCTTGGATGAATCTGTGAGGAGAATTTTTAATGTGTGGATTCTTTGAGGGTGATGCACCATCTTTCCCCCCCCTTTGGAAAAGAGTAGAGAGGAAAGTATGGGATGGTGTTCAGAGCATGTGTTTGGGATATTATAATTTCCAGCTGAAGTTCAAAAGCTTCAAAAGAATTGACTTTAAAAACCCAAAAGCTTATGAGATATGAAAGGAGATGCAAACTGCAGTTATCTGAGGCCAGGGAGCTGGCCAGCCTTGTTGGAGTCTTGCCTTTTTCACCCTTCTCGCAGCTGCCAGGCTACAAAGCCTGTTTTGTGAAAGATCCTCAAGAAACAATGAGGGAAAACAGCTTCTATTTTATTAGATTAGATGAATTTATGTGCCTGGGGGAGGGGTGTCCATGTGTTGGGGTGGGGAGGGCAGCTGTGGCCCATGTGGTCCTCACATAAGTAACCCTGGTTGCTGGAATAGCAGGAAGGTGGAGGGTGGGCTGAAGGAGGAGCATGTGGAAAGAGATTTCTGCAGTCTGTCTGGAGAGCTGCCCAGGTTTCCCAGCCAAAAAAACAAATAAAAATAAATAAAAGGCAAGTGCTGAATGACACAGATTATGATATTAAAAAGGGATGCCATTGAAAATGTGCCATGGACCCCACCATCCGTGGGGGTGGAGTGTGTGCATGAGTGGAGGCAGTGCTCTGACAGACTGAGCATAAGAAGTGTGGACTGCCCCCATCAAAGGTGCCCCCCACCCCACTCCCATGTCAGAAATCCTAAAATAAGGATTTGTCTACATTGCAGGTTGAGGAAATTGCAGGATGAGAAGCTAGTCACTCTTTTCCTTTTTTTTTTTAAATTTTAATTTATGGGGAGGGGGAAAAAGCCCCAGACCCCTCCTCTTGGGTATTAGATTCCCTCCCCCTCACATAAATAACCTCCTCTCCCTGGTGCGCGCACCCCCTCTCCCCTCCCCTGTGCCCCTCGGCTGTCCTATTGCTGCGCGGAATCTGCACTGCCGGAATCTGCACTGCCGCCTGCTTATTACGTACTGGGAGGATTGTTGACAAGTGCTCTGGAGCCTGCCTCTCCGCGCTTTTCCTTCCTCCCTCCCTCCCTCCCTCTGTCCTCCTTCCTCTCTGTCTCTCTGCAATGATCCGGCTCTGAGGATGGCTGCTCCACGGGTCTGTCAGGTGCAGTTTTTGGTGGCTTATCTTGAGGAACCTGGGATAGAAGGTCTGTTCCTATAAATAAAATAAAAACCAAATAGCTCTGTATTTGTTTCAGGCTTGTATGGCCTTTGTTGGAGAAATAGGCCTTTTGTGGGTTTCCCTATTGGGGTCCTGATTAATCTATTATGGATGGCAAGGTGCTATGTACATGAGTAAGTAAAAAGTGTTGTGATTTGCTTAATATTAATATTCTTTTAGCTTTGATATCCTCCCTAGGGGTAGTGGTGGTTCCTGCAAAGGCACTGTGGAAATTTACAAGAGAGAATTAATGTCGCTCTTAAAGCATTTAGCTCTGTTGACCATTTTGGTCAAATCTGCAGTTTTAGCCAGGCTTGCATGAATTTAGACATTTCTTTCTGGGGTCTGAATGCCATCCAGCTATGGCTGGTCCCTTTATTTTATTACCAATGAGTGTGATCATTTCCAGCATTTAAAAATAGATGTTTGCTTAAAGTTAATTAGTTCATCCTCACCATAGCTTTGGTTTTCTTTATAAACAGCATGATGGTTTTATTTCCCTTCAGACTCTCTCTTGTCCTCTCTCCTTGAAAGATAAAGGAAACTGAGGCATGTAAATAGATACTAAGTGATTATAGGTTAGACCTTAAAAGCTTTAAACTTCCAGTGCTCTCGATTATTCTGCCTTCATCATATTTGTGTTAATATATAAAAACACAAATGAATTTTAGGAGCCATTTATTTCCGATGCTTCATTATTTTTACAGATTTTGTGGCCACATGCTTGGAGCTCTGCTTTCTGTTCTGCTTCTATTCAATTTCAGCATTGGAAAGAATGGAGGCAGTAGGCCTCTCTGAACTTGTTTGGTGTCAGCAGATTTTTTTTTTTAATTAACTGATTAAAAAAAAATTTTACTTTAAATATAGCCCACTTAATCCTTTTTCATATTCGTCTGAAAAGTGGGCGTGCAGTTGATTGGCCTATGTGTGAATGAGGTAGTGAAGGTACTGGGAAACCTGCTCTTCCCAGTCATGCTACAGACAAAATAATGTAGAACTTCTATGGGGTCCACTTGTATTGTCTTATGGAATCAAGGCAGCCAGAGAGGTTTGGGAGTAAGGGTGTGACATTTACTTAGCCATCAATTATGATGTCAGTCAGGACACAAAGTATTTTGAGTTGTGCCTATTTATCATCATAGACTAATACACAAAACTATTAATCTGATGGGATTTGTTGATTTGCATTTAAGCAAGCTTCGCTCAACTTGGTAGAGGTTTGCTAATAATATTTGAGAGCCTGTTTCTTTGACTAACTTACATTTGTGTGGGTAAATGTAAGGATGGTGTGAAGCTTTAAAGATTATAAACACACACACACACACACACACACACACACACACATTGTCATTACTTAAAGGTAGGATAGCACTAGCTCTCTGATAACATCACTAGCTATCTCAGAACATGCTGTATATATGGAAATCTTCCTTTGGGAAGTGTTAATTCCATGATTTGTAAAATCCAATTTTGGCATGTCAGGTTATCTGAGCATAAAACTTTAAACATGTTGGTCTCATATTATGCTCTGCAACGATGCCATTGTTTTGTAGTTCATTTCCAATCAGCCCAACATTGTCTTTAATCACTTTTCTTCTGAATGTGGAAGGCAGTCTTTGACCTCTGGGGTGTTCAGTACTGGACCATCTGAGAGTTGCATGTCCTAGAGGACTGACTCTAAGGATTCCTGCTTTTGATGGAAATTAAAACTGGGTTGCCCAGGTGGCATGCACTTGACTGGTTTTGCCTGTATAAAATTAATAAGGTGTGGGGATGGCGATGGGTCTAGAGGAGTTATGATTGAATGCAAAGGAACTTCTCATTGTAGAGCAATGTGGATGTTTATATTTTAATAATAATTATTGTTCAAGTTACTGTACCTTTCCTGATCGTTACAAAAATCATGCTAAAGCTGAAGAATGAGTGAAAAGGAAGAGAAAGTGTAGAGGGAGGGTGAGACCTTTCCCCAAAGAAGTAAGAGAGCTGCACTCAAATGCACAGTATGTTTTGCTCACTGTGTGATCATCAGAGTTTCAGTAGCTTCTGGGCTGGTCCAGAAATCTTACCTAGAGATCATGGAGCCTTCCCACTGAGTGCTTTTTATATGGAATGAAGTTCAGCTGTTGACATTTTCCAGCCTCCTCTCCAGGACAGTGTTTTCTCTCCTCTTTTGACTCTTGGGAAGGACTTGCAAAGGAGAGATCTTTTGTCTTTTGATGATATTCATTCATTTGTGGTTGATACAGCTTGAATAGGGCTGATTTCCTGATAGCAGTAATCTGGTCACCTTTCCTGTGTGTAACTGTGAGTCCATTTGGGTGGGCTCTTTCCTTTGTGCCTGAAGGTGAGGCAATGCCTTCTGGGCTCCCTGTCCTCCCTGTTCTGGGCTCCTCCCTTCTGGGCTGTTTTCCTGCTTGACTCTCAAATTTAGCCATTTGCCTGATTCTCAAATAGGAAAAAAAGGGAGAGGATTAGATGCTTTTTTTGCTTACCCAGTGGCCCAACTTTTTCATGTTACTAATTATCACTGTGTCAGGTTGTTACCTAACACTAATTTTCAAAAAATTGAGCATGCGAAGGAAGGTTTAGAATCCCCAAGATTTTTGGGGGGAATAAAGGTTTGTCTGGTGGCTGTGAAGGGCTCCTATGGGATTCATTGAATACTTCTCTCTCTCCCCCACCCCTACCCCCCCATCAACCTACCTACTATCCCTTTGGGTGTTAAACTAACAAAAAAAACCCCATGTTTTCCCTGTGTCTTGGGACTCTTTGACCCCTGGCACTTTTTGGACTGCATTTTCTTGGTTGGAATAGGAAATCTCCATAGCTGATTTGAGAGTAGACAAAGGGGAGCCCAGGTCTGCTCAGGGGCCATTCTCCTGAGGAAAAGGGATAATTATTTTCAATAAGCTGAGGTATTAAACCTCTTTCATTTGCGCTTCGCTGACCATGAGTGTGACGGTGACATCATGCCTCACGATTGTCATTTGTTCCCAACCCTTTCAGCATTTTGATAAGGAGAGGATGTCAGTGGACCAGCCTGGGCTTAGCTTCGCTGACATCTCTGCACAGCTCACCCTCTTCCTGGAACCCTAGGACAGATGGAAGAGCTTAGCTGCTGACCCGAATATGTATAGTTGGGTTTAAACTCCATATTCCTGTTGAACCTGTGAAGCTGGCCTGAGCAGATTTTCCCTAGCATCCAAATGCAAAAAGCAAGCAACCCACTGTTTCTCTCAAAATTGGAGTAAAAATAGGTGTTTTCATTAGTAATGGCAGCAAGCTAGGCATTCTGACTACCTCAACCAAGGGGGCTGCTTTTATAATTTTTCTCTCAACTAAGAGGGCTGCAGCCAACCCCATCCCCCAACACACCCACTCAAGTACACACAGCTGCTGAAACGAAAGCTCTCTTTGGATGCTTGACTGTTTAATATGTAATGTGATACCTTGTCTCACAGTGACAGGGTGACAGACGGGC